TTCTAGAGAAAATCTTACTCTAGCAAATTTAAACTTATTTTTGAAAAGTTTGACAGCAGGACTTTTCATTGAGTTTTTATTAGGTTTTACTTGACTAGATTTGGAGTTTGGAAACACAATGTTTTCTCCCTAACTCCAACAGGGAAAGAACACTCTCAAGCCCATTCAAAGGTGAACTACTAAATCAAACTTTGGGGAGGGGGTTCGATTCAACATTAATAAACAAAGCCTGAAATCGTTAGGTCTTTATTTGCGAGAGTATAGGTGACTCGAAGGAGAATTTCTAAGCAACCTTTGGCATCTTATAAAATACCCACTTAAGTACAGTCACAGCAGAAACCTTTATTCCAATACTCAGAAATTAGAGTGACTCCCGGCGAATCGGACTATTTGGATATATTTTTCTCCGTACAAATAGTTTGGTCTTGGAAATTTCTATTGGTTGAGGTGGTCTAAGCAACTTTACGGGTGCCCTTCTGCTCTACACTTCACATACCTAGGTCACCAACTGTAGGACTTGGAGATCTACTTCTATCAGATACGGAAGCTCACTAGGTAAAAACTTTTCTTAGACCACTCCCAATCCCATGATAGTTCGAACGTTTGACTACTTAATTGACTTGTGTATACGCAAAAATTTCCACTGAGCTTACAAAAACACAATGAGCTTCATGTTTATTGTTCAGGAAGATGTCGATAGGAATTTTTTTATTTTGGCAACATGCACGGTGATATTTGACATATTGGACATCGGAGGTGTACACATCAAGTGCACGCTACTTGCGTTCCTTGTTTTGTGTGGTAAGATGTTCGTATAAGCAACTATCTGTCGTCTATATGTTGGGTTCTATTGTTCATAACCAGTGGACTCTATTACATACCAATCCCAGTGGTTACGACCGACAGGTGGGAAATGTATTAAACGTATGTTTGCTCACCTATAACGGCCCAATCTCCCTATTTCGGGGTAAATTTTATTGGTTTTGTGGAAATAGCACAAAACCCCCAGTTTCCTAAGATCTGGGGAAATCCCCAAACTTTGGGTAAACCCGAAAATAGGGAAATAGGGGTCATTAATCAACAGTATGATGGTTAATTAATCATCCTACTGGCGGAATCCATGTGATCCTAACGGTTCTGAGCGGAATAGGAAATCCTTTCGCTTAGTATGATATGTCTAGTAGCAGTAAATCGCTGACACTTAAGTATGTTTTTAGTGGTGATAATTACCAATATTGTTAACAATAAGACTGGCTTTTGTCAATCGGTCATGGATTAATTAGTTGAGTCATTAATACTCATTGAGTGATTACGGTTAAACCTTCACTAGACTAGAAGCTTGTTTAATCTCATTGGGAGGTTTACTTCAACAGCAGTTCCAGTCATCTGATTGAATTGAGCCTCCAAACGCCCTGGTACGGCCGAGAATGGGAAGGGCCCGCCCCCTCTCGAAATGCTCACACACGGCCACGCGTATACAGCCATTGCTAAAAAAGCCCCACTCGCTGCCTTCTCGTGTTGGGGGTGTTTACGAAATTAAGAGGACAAAAAGCGAATGTCTGGCGCTTAAACCGAGTTGGTGGATATGGAGGGTCCAACTAGGGGAGCTGGAAAACCCTGATTCCAAACCAGTTATTTATTTTTATTTATTTAAACACATAAATATTGGTACAATGAAGCACCAGATAAATATACGCCTCACAAATCTCATTCGATTTGTGTGAGGGCTGTGATACTGCCCAGGTGCCCAGACTGAAGCAGGTGGTTTTCTTAGGGGACCACACCCGGAACCTTTGACCTGAATGTCTGATCCACAAGGCAGTGGAGCATCGTGAGGAGATGCAGTCCCATGGTAGCCGTTGACCAATGACAGGTTCGTCCGCCATTCGTTCCATCAGGATACCGGAGCCCATGTGCACCATTGGTTTGGAATCAGGGTTTTCCAACTCCCCTAGGTGGACCCTCCGTGTCCACCAATCCGGTTATAGGGCCGGACATTCGCTTTTCGTCCTCTCACTTTCGTAAACAACACCCCCGCAACGAGAAGGCAGTGAGTAGGACTTCCCTGGCAGAGGCTATATATTCGCTGGCCACATGAGAGTATTTCGAGAGGGAGAGTAGACTCTCCCCACTCTCGGCCGTACCAGGGCATTTGGGGGCTCCAGTATCCTGAGGGAACAGATGGTGTATAAACCGATCGTCGGTCACCAGCTACCATGGGATTGCATCTTCTCACGATGCTCTACTGCCTTGTGGATCAGACCTTTAGGTCAAAGGCTCGGGGTGTGGCCCCCTGAGAAAACCACCTTGATCGGTTTGGGCACCCGGGCAGTATCATAGCCCTCACACAATTAAAGGAAATCATAATTTTTTTGTGTGGCGCATACATATCTGGTGCCCCCTTGTATCAATATTTGTGTTCAAATAAATAAATAAACGTATGAAAAGAGGAGAAATATAATTTTTAATAGATTGGTATAATATGCTGTTCTGAGTATTTGAAGATACATCAAGCTTGCTGTCAGAAGACTAAAGGCATGTTATTTGATCCCCTTCGGGTGGTAGGGAATTCCAAAGCTCAAGCCATCGTAAAGAGTGGGTGTACATACAGTTCAACTTGCTGTTGTATATATGACTTCTGAGTATTCCCTCTAGGGTTTGTTTTACGGTTAAATAAATGACCGTTCTAGAGGATCTTGAGGAGTGTTTTGTATGTTGTAGATCATTATAGGGTCGCTTCTGTGTTGCTTATTTCTAAGTGGTAAATATCTAGTGTTCGGGCACAAGACCGCGGACTAATTTTATACTTCTCAGTGCGCTTCACTGTATTATTCTTTTGACGTGGAGGAGGACTATTTCCTTGTGACCTCACTTAGAGTTTATACTCTATGTAAGGCTGAATGAAACGTTAAAATTACCTGAAAACCTCTACCATTTATCTACCCAAAAGTGTGTCACTAGTGCTAAGTTAATTATTATTTATTTAAACACATAAATATTGGTACAAAGAGGCACCAGATATATATGCGCCACACAAATCTTATTTGATTTGTGTAAAGGGTGTAATACTGCCCAGGTGCCCAAACTGAAGCAGGTAGTTTTCTTAGGGGACCACACCCCGAGCCCTTGACCTAAAGATCTGATCCACAAGGCAGTGGAGCATCGTAAGGAGGTGCAGTCCCATGGTAGTCAGTGACCAGTAATTGGTTCATACGCCATTTGTTCCCTCAGGATACTGGAGCCCATGTGCACCATTGGTTTGGAATGGTGGTTTTCCAACTCCCCTAGGTGAACTCGCCGTGTCCACCAACGCGGTTAAAACGCCGGACATTCGCCTTTTGTCCTCTCAATTTCGTAAACGGCACCCCTACCACGAGAAGGCGGTGAGGGACTTTTCTAGCAGTGTCTGTATATGCGTGGCCATGTGAGAGCAATTCGAGGAGAGCGGACTCTACTCACTCTTGGCCGTACCAGGGCATTTGAGGGCCTACCAGTTAATTATAGGGAGATTTTTTTTGGCCAGCGTTGTTTTCATCGGAGAATAATCTAAGTTAATGAGCTGTATTTGAGGCTAGCATCGTTCTCCGGATGGACTGTTTTACTCTTTGGGGAGTTAGGAGTCTGTCCGTTCTTGACCATTTGAATTTGAATTCGGATCAGATTGTCCTGAAGCACTTACCTTTCCTTTTGGTTATGTACTTCCCAAAGCCTTACATAAAAAATAGTAACATTTTAGGTATATACTGAGGATGATTTATATAAACCAAAAAGAGCGAAGGTCCTAGTGTTTGACACTAATAGAACTACAAAGACATCCTGCAGTCCAAAGTTATCAAATAAAAATTCTTCATAAGTGAAGGCATTTCGGGGGCTAAAGATAGAGCCAGTCGCCTGCCGGAACCTGGGATGAAACCGGGTACATTTATATCATCAGTCTAACGCAATTCCGGCAGCTTACAACTACATATACGAGACTTTCTAATTGAGTTTTCTCTTTGATATTTCAGAATCTTAAATTGATCCCTGTAGAACTATCACAGGGAAGCTAATTGGTAAGTTGTCTCATATTCCTCCATTATCGTTTGTGTTCTCTCGTGTGACGCATATATATCTGGTGCCTCCTTGTACCAGTATTTATGTGTTCAATTAAATAAGTAAATAAATCTTTTTTTTCAAAGCAAGGACGTTTCTGGATTATTACTTATCTGTACTTAAATACATACTGTGTCGGCACAGAACTAAAATTACTAGGTCATTTTATTATTTTGGTGACGCTGTGTGGTAAATACACAGTTTTGTAGTCCGCAATGTTTAAAAGCATGTTATTATACTATAATTCTATAGCGTTTTATTTTGTCCTAAGGCACCGTTTGTCTCCAGGGCGTCTTAGTGTCTTTTTTCACTCCCTGATTTTATAGACTAATATCATTCATTGATATGGTCACTCAGTCGTCGTCTAACATGCTCTTATGGCAGTTAAGATTGGACATAGAGGTAGCCTGTGACTGAAATATATGTACTTGCAACACCCCGTAAGTTGTCTATAAAAGCTCATAGCTTCATCAACAAATTTACTATCTTTAATATCTTTCACAATATGCATTAGTGATTTGAGTGTTTCATTTTATCAACAGTCTCAACAACGTCAATACATGTTTTACCCCTCATGTAAGAATATCTAGTTGATAATTTCGTAATGATTAAATGCTCGAAAATTAGTTTATAGTGACTGCGAATATGAATAAGGAAAGGGATTTAAACCGTAGGTCAATAGGAAGTGTACATAATATACCACAGTGGCGCAGCTGGATTCAACCGTCTTGTCGATCTGGAATACAATTATTCTTTTGTAACAAACCTTCCCACTCTGTCTTTGGAGCTATATTTCCAGTGTTTAGGCTTTTTCAATATCATTGCTTCTACATTTGTTATAATTTCTCTTATTAAGACCCAGCTATTCCTATTGCTTAGTATTCTTGGACACTAATTCACTCGACAAGTCCCCAAATCAGAACACGGTTGAATAGGAAAGAAATTATATTCCAAATAACAAGAGTAGATGGAAGTAAGAAGTACAATAAGAGATACGTTAGTATATTTTCATAGTTTTTACTTGAGAAGATCCTAGAGTCTTATTCAAGTATCGACTAGCGCTGACTGGATAAGAATGAGCCAATCAGCGTGCACCAACGCAATCGTGCATGGAACCGAAGTAGGTAAGGTGGAGTTCAGACCTTAGGTTTAGTGCTTGAAAATGGAGCTCTATTAAAATCTGTCAGGAATATCACTCAGATAGTTAATAGTTAGCTGGACTGCTGTGGAATTAGTTAGTTAAGTGTTCTACTCGGGTTGAGTAACCAGAACTAGACAGTTAAACTAATAAATGACTGCCGTGTAGTTGCTCACTACGGGCCTTTACTTTAGAAATGACAAAGTGAAATTAGATATAATTTTGAGTCTGAACGTAATTTCATTAGACTGATGTGTCGACCTCTGATCACTTCAGTTTCTACGAGGAAACCCCCTTGCGGCCTTTGTAGAAGATTCAACTTCACTAACAAGATCTCAAGGTCTTCCGATAATAATTCAATGCTTAACGGATGCTCAGTTAAAACAAATCGTAGAAAAACACATTTCGAATTTCTAATCTTAATAACCGAAATTGCTTCTCTTCCCCTTATGCTTCAATACTGAAATAATTGAATAAAAAATAAAACATCTTAGTAGCCTATGTCGACTGTTTATATCCACTGGTTTTGGTTTCGTTAATAGTTTTTTTCCACTTATCTGAAATAAATATAGTGACCTGAAACTGCTACGTAATTTGACTTGATGTTTAACTCTCGTTTTTTGTTACTTTTCGCTAATCATTCTTCTCACCTATCGTGGACTTCAATGTCGTCAAATGTATTTATCTACTTTTTATTATTTTTAGCTCCCAACTTGGATGGCAGATAGACTTACTGAGCTACAAGACGCGATTAATTTACAAGCTGAAAATTTGTGCAACGCAATCGGTGTAATACAACAAGTCGCTCAACCCAGTTTCTTTTCCGACTTTAATTGGGCTTCTAGGTCTGCTAAACCAGAATACCAGGCATTTATCCAAGCTCAACCAACTGACGGTAAGTGTATATATGTAACTATTATGCGATGTTTTTATTAGTATTCAGAAAATAAATTCTTCAAATACAGTGAACGTAGGTCAAAAACAAAACCAAGATATAGAATAGTGTAAGCGTCCGTCACTAGTCTCCACTTAGACTTAAACGTGCTAGTTTGTTTTGAGTTTGTTTCATAGTTCAGTAGTCACTGTGAATATTTATCTTAGTAAAATCAACATTATCTTTGCCTTGGTTCTGTTGTTTTAAGTTTCAAGTTACAACACAAACTTACTCCGTTGATTTGAGTACATTCAGTAAAGTAAATGCTTTTTTCATTCTCATTATTCATCGTTAGCTTTTGATGTTTAGTTTTGTATTTCACACACTTGATACTTTTAGCTCTGTTATTGCATATTATTAGTTCTAATTAGCAGTCCCTTTATGACACAGTTTCCCGATAGCATTGGAATCTCATATCAAATTTTGACAAAATACCAGGTTTTAAAATATTTCTGAAAGATAAGTGTACATTCTGGACGTTTGGAAACCACACAGAAGACAGCATCTTTATAGGGAAATGGTAACTGCACAAATTAGTGTTTATGTGGTAAAGAACAAGTAGTATGACACTATTAACATGTATCTACTGTAACATGATACTGTCCCTTGTACCACCTCGGTTATCCGTTTGTTTGTTCATGGTCTTGGATTTTTTTGTTTCAGATATTCTCAAGGCTAATACGTGCCCATGATCACCGAAATTATCTTCTGATCAAGTTCTTATAAAATTCAGTAGTTGGGTATACCGGTTCGCGTCCAGCCAGAAAGTATTTTGTACATTAGGGGAGCATGCACAGTGGCGTAAATGGAGAGGTGGGAAAGAGAAGAACAAAATATTAGACGAATCGACAACCCAGCATGCGCACACAATGCATTTACATTTATCAAGGAAAACAATAGACTACAATCAGCCATAACACAAACCTCAAATTCATACATTCTTGAAATCGAAACTAAGAGCAAATAGTTTAACCTGCGACATGGACTTTAAAATTCACTAATTCTTTAGTTTGTGTAGTAAAACAGCTATATTTATTAAGAATTTAGAACTTTGTTTGTAGTTACTTCAGTAACTATGCCTAAGTTCTGAACAGTAAGTGTCGTTGTCCTGTTAGTAAACTTATTTAGACATTCCACAAAATGCTTTGATTGATTCAATATTTTTGTTGGTTTTAGATATTGCTCGGAGTTTTGCTGTTGCGATTTCTGCTACCGCAAAGCAACTGGATGCATTGATTGGAGCTCTGCCTGAAGAAGAAGCCAGTGCAGACATTCAACGTGCTACTGTTCACAAACTTTTAGAAGCTTACAGATCTGAAGGAGCGAAACTTGCGCGTATCACAACTAAACTTGAGTCAAGGTTGGCTGAAGTACGTCGCTGTTTAACAGCTATTGCTCAAACACAACTCACTACCCAATCACTAGAATCAGAGGTATTTTTTAGTCTTAAATATTTCACTTTTGATGGGTTGCTAGTTTGTGACTCATTTAGTCTCATTGTTACTGCCCCTACGATCGTTATTTTTAGTAGTTCCAAGAATAAATCAACAGTTGTTAATGTCATGAATTTATCTAAGTAATACTCTGCAGTATAGCTAGACATGTACAATATGTATCTAAATTTCACCTTAACTCCTAGTAACTACGTTCTTCGTAGATTTGTTACAAATGCTCACATAATTTAAACCCTCTCATTCTCATATACCTTTGATATAAAGGTAGATCTGTGTAGAATTCAAGTTCATTAACATTGAAAAAAATTATAAGTCTTTGCTCCAGCAACTGATTTGCCATAAATATCTTAAGTTATCAGACATTAAGCCAAGCACTATAGCACTAAAATGTGATAACAGTATGATACACCCTTTTCAAAACAAACATTTTCAAAATGTCATATAGTTGTGCTTAACTTGTTCTACCACATGGAAAGTGAAGTCAGTGTGTTGCTGTCGTTCGTTCAACCAAGGATTTTTGAAGATAGTGATTTGAGATTAGGTTATCGTCATGATGATGACAATAATAATAGTAATTGTAATAATCATCAGTGCTGTTTATCTCGGGTTGGGTATCCATATGCGACAAATAAAACATCTAAGTGCTTTTAGCATAGAGGGATTTATAGAGATTATAGGATTCTCATAGTTTAAATCACGAACTAGTCTTAGCTAGACCACCACTAAAGGCCTGGAGGCATTGGACAGTCGTTTCGTCTTAGTATGGCTCTCCTCATCAATGAGCATTCACAGCCTCACAACCAAGAACCGAACGTATGACCTTCGGTCTCACTAGTGAACACAGCCTCTATACCACAGTCGAGATCTAACGGTGTTCGTCTAACTTCACGATATTGTGTAATCGTCATACTTTGCCTGCAGTGAATTCTGGCTTTGTGGTCTAGAGGTTAAGGGTTCGTGTGCGAGACTGAAGATCCTGTATTCAATCCTGTGTTGGAGTCTTGAATGTTCACTGTGGGGGGAGTACCGTACTAAGAAAAAACGACCATCCAGTGCTTCCAGCTCTTCAGTGGTGGTCTAGTTAAGATCAGTTCGTGATTTAAACTATGAATATAAGCTTTTGGTTCATTTCACAAAACGTTTACTCGGTTACTCCTTATTCGTCGTTCGGTTTATGTTTGTTATGTTGAATATCTTGCTGAATCCCAATAGATCCTATGTATTTATAGGTTGCTGTTCTCTTTACTAGTAGTTGGTTTATGATTGGTTTAGTGGAAATTATATCTATGGGATAAACTTATTGGTTACTTTGAGCTGTGGTTATGTACTTACCATACCAAGAAACTGGGGTTCTCTGTTACCTTCAGTAAATCAATGTTGTGACCACTTAGTGGATAATAAGACATGACAACCAAAATGTCAAAACTTCACACAAGCACAAAGTGAAAGGGGTTTTTGGAAGGTGGAAATCAAAGTCTTCAAAATAATAGTAATGTAAATTAATAAAAGGGAACCACTAAGCATAAAGAGTAATTTGAAAAAACCTCGAAGGAAGTGAGCAAATCGATTGAATATCAAACCTCAAAATCGCGAGGAAGGATATTAATGAATAGATCCGCTCCATCATAACCGATATTGTTGAGTAAATACTTTAAAGTATTTCGCTATTTCCCATTAAATATAGTTCATAAACTATTTTAGTAATAAGCTTAAGTTATAATATGATTATAGCCGGTTAAATAGACAAGTACTTTTGAATAGTTTGCAATGCTATTATGCTTGGTGTAAAGAGAACATGTGACTATTGTCATAACCTGAAGAAGATTAATGAGTAGCAGCTCTTAGGATCTATGTATGGACCGTTATTATATGTATTCTTATCGTATAACACCTGCTTCAGTTTGGGCACCTGGGCAGTATCACAGCCCTCAAGCAAGTCGAATGAGATTTGTATGGCGCATATGTATCCGGTGCTTCCTTGTACCAATATTTAATGTTTAAATAATAAAATAATAATTGTATAACCATCAAGTAACTACATTATTTGTATATTCATGTTCCTTTTATTATACGCTTCTGTGTGATTTATTGACTACTATTATATGATTTACTATTCCTCAGTTATTCCCCAAGTTATTAGCTACAGTCTCCCATAGCCACTTTTAGCGTGATTTTGTGTAGTTATTATTTTCTATTTCATGGTATGATGCCGTCTGATTTGTTTGTATATAAACTGCGTATGTGTGAAATACATGATTGATATAGCGGAGGCTGATATTAGTGTTCTGGACTGAACCGGCTGGGTTTAGGCGAGAAGTTACTATTTCAGAGGACCAAAAATAACTGTATGCCGCTCGAACATGTTAATGCGTTATTAGTCTCGTTGTATAAGTCATTGTCTAAATGGCGATCGTATCATGTGATATGTTAACAAGGCCACAAGTCAACAATTGTAATAGAGGAAGAAATCAAACCACTTGCAATGCTTTTAGGTGTCTTACTCTGTTTAAGTGTATATATAATGACAGGTTAGTTATGAAATAATATTGAGTAATTGGAAGAAAGAGGATTATAATAATAAAGTGAAAAGATTTTATGTATCCATCTTTGTATATAATAAAGTTATGTAAGGGCTTAAATGCTAATTTCCCTATCGACTTATAATTTTTTGTTGAGTACACTCTCTTATATTTCACTGAAATATGCTTAAAAATATCAAACACACAAGTGACTCACTTCTCCGTTCAGTAACTTTGTTAATATATAGTTTTTATTTATTTATCATTTCAACAGGTGTATAGAGAATTTTATGGAAGCTAATCCTAACCTGTCGTTAAACAACGACTCAAGTTATGAGGCTCCTGACTACATATATTCATCATCACCACCACCATCGTCTATTTCCTGGCTCACTTATTTAACTATCATATTCCTTTTTATTCTATTCTTTCGACTATGCTTTACATTCGGTATTGTGGATAGATTACATGCTCTTGTTAATTTTATTTTGGCAATATCCACACCATCTGGTCGTAAACGTCGAGCTCTACGCGCTAAGTGTGTTGAAGATCTAGGAAACTTACGAACTCAATTGAAAAGCGTACATATGGTGGATGAGTTTGCTACTTATTCGAAACTAGAACGAAAGATAAAATTATTGGAACGTCAGTTGGACTCCTTGGCCCCTGAAACTCTTGTTGGATCAGTAAGTTTTTTGTTTCTTAATTTACCTGAGTTTGCCTACTGTTTGTACAATCATCATAAGGCAAATACAGTTCATTACAGTAGGTTAGTGAGAAATCGCCAAATGACAAATGCGTGTGATTGGCCAAGAAATGGCTTTCTTTTCCAAGGGATTAGAAAAACGATTGATAGACTTAATTTTCTAAAGGACAATGTATACATAAATGAGTTTACACACAATGGATTTTGTTTAGCGAAGTAAAGGTTTCTCACTCTCCGTATTTCCTTTCAAGTAATCAAGCTCATATGTTTGGAAGTATATCTCAGGATGAACTCTCAGACACCGCACGTCACAACATAATTCACTGGGCATGGACTACGTTTTTTGAGGTACTGTTCTCGTGAGTGTTATGAGTACTCTAACAATGGTACTTTTATGTGTAGAGAATATCTGGAAATGTAACGTTCAATAGACTCCAGAATAGCAATATTATGAGATGTTGGTAATATGTGATGGCATTAAGTCAAATTATTTAATTAAACCGATTTCGATTCACTGTCTAAAGTTTGATCTATGTCTATAGGGTTCACAATGTATTGAATGTCACAAGGGTTACCAAAATCTGGGTTTTCGTATACTTACTTTTCAGTCCAAATTTTATTGTCCCCTTCACTCCTTACAAACATTTCTTGCCACTCTAACAACGATTTCAACTTTCTATCGTATTCTGAAGTCAAACCTCTCGTCTTCGGCATTGTTGATTTGAAAACTATTCAAGATTCCTTTTCTTGCGAACTGATAACTGTCGAAATGTTTGATGTTTAAACAATAGTCTGCGTGTCCAAACTCCGTTTAATCTCAGGTCACATAAATAGGGCACTATCATAAAATATACTATCAATATGTCTCAGGTTGGCACAGACCTTTCCATTTGGTTGGACAAAATCAATTCATCCATATGGCCATATAGAAGCTTTACAAGCTATTGTCAGTTCGTGATGAAATGGTAACCCTAAACTTATAATCTCGATCCTAACCAAGAACAGTGTGGATACTTAAATATCTGTTTGAGTCATGTTAAGGGTTCTAAAATATGGACAAGTTGATATGTCGTTTTTGTTGTGTCTTTAAGCCCGGTTAATTGTCACGTGATTTACTCGCCAATCGAAATGTGACTTATACGATCTTAGTACTGTGCCAAACCAATGACGTTCGGTCGGTGTGAGCAGTCTCGCGTCTTTGTTGGTCCTTTGATTTCCTAGCCCTTTCAGTTGAGTCCAGAACGCCAATATCAGCTTTCACTATACGAATCATTTCAAACATACTTGGTCTGTATACCAGTCAAACAGACCACATCACACCATAAAATAGGAAATAACATTTGCACATTTGCAGTGATTAATAAACTGAATATAATTTGGGAACAGTAAATCGTATCATAATAGTCTATAGGTCAAAATAAAGCTTATATTAAGAGGAATATAGATATACACAATCTAGTTACTCAATAGTTATACAATATTAATCGGTTAATAGTTCACAGAAGTTACCTGTAATTTAATCTTCACTAGGATATAACAGTTTTTTCGATTAACAGACCAAGTAACTTCTAGGAGACAATAATAGATTTATTAATTGTCCAAAGTCTGTTTACACTTTGGAGCATCATTGCTTTCCTTCTCGTAAACTATTCGTTTATAGAAGCTATTTTTTTATTGACTTGAAACTAGCTGGAAATTCATCGCGAGTTTTATAATCTGTCGTTTCTGTACCACTATACTTTAATTGGTGTATGTGATGATTTTACGTCTTTATCTTTTTATTCTCTTTTCGTTCATGTATGTATATATTTCTCTTTCTAAAAAATTTCCTTTTTGGGGGGTCAGATGGTTCGTCAAGTCGGTATCTACATTGGATTATATGCAATCGAAGCAATATTTATGGCTTATCTGATTTCACATTCTCCAATTGAGACAATTTCACCGGCAACACTACAATCTCTCATGATAACTAATCATTCAATGAAAGATATCACTATTTTTATCTGTCAAGTAATATCATATATACCTGTAAAAATTTTAGTGATATGTTGGATTATTTTATGTCGGTTAACTATTGGACCAGCAGTATCTAAATTAGGAAATAAATTACAACAACAACAGCAATCTCAAAATCAACACTCAAATGTTGAGTCCACTAATAATATGGCAACTACTGTATCCACTACTAATTATTCTGTGCCCAATACATCATCCTGAGATCAGTGACAATGTTAGCATTAATATTCAGTAAATATGCAGACAGAAGTCTTCGTTTTTATCAACTTAAAAAGCAGAACAAAACACCAAGATTATTCATTCCATTTGTGTTTATTAACATTTTATGAATAGTGGATTTATTTTCTGGCATTGTTTTGTATACTCGTTGAATAGTATATATATATATATATATATATATATATATATATATATATATATATATATAATGCTCTATGTTTCTTTTTATATGTTGTAGAAATGAACGACACTGACAGCCTTGAAATAAATAAATTGATCAACCTGAATGAAGACGACGATTGGTGAATTCGTGCATACGTTTTAGGACGGAATCATGTTTTTAGGCGAGACTTCACATTTCGATAGGTTGGTTAATCACGTAACTGTAGAATGTTGGACTATTAATAAGAAATATCTTGTGTGGCTGTGATCAGGAAATGCCATACAGAAAAAGCACGAATTTAGAAGATGAGGTTTTAGGAGTAATTAGGTCAGAGGAGTGTCAAGAGTTTTGGTTTAGGATGTTATGGTTAGGTGCGTTACGTCTGTAATAACAGGGTTAGGATGTTAGTATTTCAAAACTCTACATTCCTAGTACTTTTTTCCGAAACATTCATTTCGTTTACAAAGCTTCGTCTTAATTGCCTTATATTTTATTCGCTAATCTCAAGGCCACTCGTAGGATCGCCCCAGGTTTTCGTTATGGTTCAGTTCTATTCCTTTTATCGTAACTCATGAGATGATAACTGCTCTAAGAGGAAAAGGTTGCATTTTTACTTTACAGAGATTAACAAGTATCTTCTGAGAATCCGAAATGTTTTAGCTATCACATGTAATCTTTCTTAAAGGACTAAGGAATTAGTACGACAAATTAGTAGGTTCCTGTTGTAGAAAGCTTAGAAAACTACCATTTCATTATTATCACTAAATTTAATGAGGTAGGATTCATCATAATGATTTCATCGCTTCATATCGGACGTTCAGACATTTTGGCTATTCGAGATGTTGGTTACACCATTATTGTATCAATCACAATTTCTATATTACACAAAAACATACAATATCAGTGCATATAAATTTCGTACATTTTAAAATGTATTCTACTAATATAACTAATCCTATATATTAAATGCTTATTCAAATACAGTCTTTGATATTTATGCTACTCCATGTTAGACAAATGAGTTTTTCGATAAATTCTCCTCAGGTTCTACAATTAATAATCCGAAAAAATGGCCAAGTTAAAAGCAAAGTACGTCGTTTAATGCATGTAAATTTAGGAATGTCGAACCAAATAGAATAAAATTGTGAATGTTTATATGACTCATAGAATGTTAACTTGGATTTGTATATATGTTAAGTGAAAATTTAGGATCTGTGATCAGAATAAATATGGGTCAGATAGGGTGAAAGAGATATGACAGTGCAATTACAATTCGATCAAGTGGAAGATTAAGTTGTGTGAAAAATTAGTAAGACGTAATAAGGAGTCAGCTCATATAGCTGACTTTTTGTGGACTCTCCATTTCCTAATTCGATTCCACTGCTAGCCGCCATCAATCTTTGCTTAGGGATGCTTGTGACTTAGTGGCAATATCGAGGCGATCCATATACAATGCACATATACCAAAAGAGACTGATCAATCGCACTCATAAACATCAATGGGAAGATTCAAACAACCAATATATACTGACAAACTATTTGGCTGGAAATGATTTGCGTACATTTCGTATAATTAATCTTAGTTGGCTAGGTGCTTGATCAGATTACTAACGTCTATTGAGGGGTGCAAACTCAAAATTACTTAAATAACGTCAACTTGAGAATGTATTTCAAGCATTCGTTAACAACCGACTTTATTTTCGGAAAAGAATAGCTCATCATTCTCCAGGGTCAATTTCAAGATAACTAATTTATTGCCGTTAAACGTTTCTATTTGACCTTGTTAATAATCAACAGTCGAGGCGGAAAGATTACAACTGATGTGTGTCCGAGAACGATGATGATTGGTTGTTTGCTTAGTCAGATTCGTGGATAGTCTGACAGGCGTTAATGAGTTATATATTCCCCTATTATTATTATTGATTGTGTCGGGTTTTGGTGTGGAAACATATGTACTTCCCAGTCAGGCTAATCAGCTGTAATTGATCTGAGTTTTGTTGAGGTCCTGTAGAATAGATACTGGGAGGGAATCCAGTGTAGATATTCGTCTAAGGCAAATTGACGTCCCATTTGTGTATACAAGAAAATCCAAGCGCTATAACAATGACGAAAGGAATGATTTGACTTTCTGGATTTCGGATAATCACAAATTGTCAAAGGATAGCTAAATGTTGCAATAAATTATGTTATTGAATTAATGGCAACATACAAAGAACAGTTTCTAAAAACATCTCAGAATATTTCCTGGCATGACTTTTGAAAGGTGAATGTGCTGTGTAATATTCTGGCTTTCGGGTGAGGAAGCCAACAGTTGTTAAATATTGTTTTTGGCACTAATCTTGCTATCATCGTGTTACCGGTTACCAGAAGGATAATGAAACTATGTAAACCATCTAGAAGAAATAATCGAACTACATTATGCTACTTCTCACCTTTAATAACGACCTCAGCACAGTGATTAATAAAAATCAGAAATCTGTTTTTCTAGAATTATGTCAGAATACTTAATATTTTCTTTTGTAAGAATGATAAAAGTTGAGACCTACTTCTCATACCTTTACTCAAAATCGCTATACTGGAATTAGTCAATCTTGGCTTTAATTTGAACTGAATAAATTGGTTCTCTTCGTGTTGCATGTAATGGTACTTTCTGTTCTCCAGCATTAAAAGAACGCATTCATGCAACAATATATATTAAGTTTACCACTTACCTACATTAAAATTTTCATTGATGTAATAATTATTAACTATACTCGAAAATTGTGTTTCAGTAGTAAGATTTGCCATGTATTATATTCTGTTATCATGTGGTGTTCGTATGAACTAATGATTCCTTTGCACTTGATGTGTGCCTGATTTTGAATTCCGAATACAATACGTTCGTCTCTGCTCACCTAGTTCTTTCTAAATTAAATTGCGTTATTCCGGGGGTTTCTAGTTTGTATAATAATTCAAATACTTCTAATCACAAATCAGTTCAACCAAACGAAATAGTGTAATTTACAGAACAGTATGAAAAATACAAATAGTACTCCAACAAAAGTATATATTCCGTACATTTATTGGATATTAAGTTTGTGATTCATAAACAACCTATTGTTACGTGCCTCGTTCATTCACTTGTCATTTTATTAATTTAAAATATTGGCGTAATTATGGCGATTAAAATTAGGCGACAGAAGATGAATAAGGAAAAGTCAGATGAGACAATAACTCTGAAAAAAAACAATGGGTATGTGAAAGAAATTCTTTATCTAACGATGCGGAAGATTCATGATTGTATGCAAAGTATGGTTTAATATTTGGCATTCTTTGCGTTTTGTAAATGTAAATAAATTAATGGGTGTTTGAGATAGATATATTGTGTGCCTGAAATGTGGTAGTAGAATCTTGGTTGCTGTCTTCTTTTATTCGCACTCAAGACCGGGAACAGAAGAAAGGCATACTTTCTAGACCAATAAGAGTTAGGGTTATTCTCGGCTAAACTTAAGATTAAGCTTACCAGTCAAGAGCTTATAACTGGTAGAGGCTTAGTATTAACGACCACCGAATAGTATACAACAGAGTAGATAAATTATAGTCAGGATTCTGATTAACTAAATCGCACTTTCGAGATATTGATAACAATGTGACAATGAATAAACAAACGATCAATGATACTATAAGAAGATTTGGATTAAATAATCTCCGTAAGATAAAGTACAATTGTAGTCATAAGGCATTACATTATGATACGTACTTTCCAAAAATGATTAGTAGCATATCAATAATAAAAAAAGTCATTAGAGTTAATTCAATGTACTTAGGGTAAAAGTATTGGAAATTAAGTTCATATAAGACGTATAGAAATATGTACTTTAATTGTTTACTTTATAAAATCACAATAAATTGAATTTACTAATGTCTAAAAAAAGTTCACTTTTGATTAGTCTTTCTTCCTGAATTTTATTTAAGAAATTTCATAGATTTTATATGAGGTACGGTTGGATATTGGCTTACAGTAAAATCGAGGATGAGTATTTTTCCAAACTTAGGATTCATCAGTTGGATTAACCTGGCCCCTAGTGTTGATTTTTATGAAGGAACGCTAACCTATTACCTTTTTCTTCAAACACAACATGTCATCCACTTAGCTATGGATTCTACATAGTCACTGGTTTGTTCAAGATTCCACTGTTAGCCTAACTCTGTTTAAATACTTGTGGCATAATGGCTATGTCGAGGCAATTCTTACAGAACTCATGTATCTCAAAAAGAGTGATCAATTACAGTTTTTAACTATTACAAATTAATATGAAGTAGGTTAGAAAAAATAACGTAAAAACATTGCTCTAATTATTCAAAGTAGACAACAAAATGTAGCTGTAAAAGTCAATCGTAGAAAAATGAGATAAATACTGATAACTTTTGTAAGTTTTAACCTTTATTTTCACATTTTTCACAATTTCTATACACTAACAGAAGAATCTTTGCTTTGATTGTAGCGTAATTATCTTGGTTTCTGTGAGGTCGATTAGCATCGATATTGGATTATTGAATATGAATCCAGAGAATAAATCATGTAATGATTTTGCAATTTAGTTTAATAAATCTTGTGCGTTTGGAAAATATAATATAAGAATTCTAACAGCAGGGCCCCCACCTGCCCCCAAATACCCTGGTACGGCCGATAGTCAGGAGAGTCCACTCTCCCTCTCGAAATGCTCTCATATGGCCAGCGAATATATAGCCTCTGCCACGGAATTCCTACTCACTGCGAATGTCCGGTACTTTAACCGGGTTGGTGGACAAGGCGAGTCCACCTAGGGGGGTTGGAAAA